GAAGTTCTGTAACTACACAATTTATTCTCTCTTTTTGGTTTATAGTTGTCCTCATTTACCAATCAATGTCTCTGGTTCCTTGTTTATAATCTTGCAAGTATATTTTCCTTTAGATAGTTCTGTAACTGGGCTGGTTTCTAGGTTATATAATCATGTGTGTTAATGGCTAGTTGTTGCTTACTGTTGTTGGTTCTCTGTCCAAAAGATTCCCTTTAATATCTTGTTCTGGTTACCTAGTGCCACTCTGACAAGAATATATCACAAATGGGATGGCCTTAACAAATAGGAGTTTATTCTCTTACAGTTTGGAGGCTTTAAGTCTGAGTTCAAAGTGTCAGGCTCCAGGGGCTCTGCTTCCTATTCCCGGCCCACTGGAGCACTTCTTCACTCAGACAGCTGCTGGCTGCTGAGGCTGACAAACCCAAGGTTGATAAGTAAAAAAGGCACAGTCCTGAAGTTATCAAACCACAGGGTAGGTCATTAATTTAAGTCCATTGTTAAGTCCCAAGGTCAGCAGAGCATGGCAGGCTGCTGAACAATGACACGGCCACATGCAGGGTCCAAGCATGTCATAAGCTAGAGACCATTCCCCAAGGCTTCTCCTTATATACAGGAAGCAGACCACACTGCTAAGGCAACTACTCAGCTGCTCACAGTAGATTCCACCATGGAGTTACTACCAGTCTCATCATGTGGAACACTACATCCAGCTACCCAGCTACTCAACCAGGCCCAGCCAAGTGGACACACAAACATAACTACCACCTATCTCTTGTAAGGTTGGTTTATTTTAACAAATTCCCTTAATTTCTGCTTATATGGAAATGTCCTAATTTCACCATCATATCTGAGGGTCAGTTTTGCTGGGTATATAATTCTTGGTTGGTGTGGTGTAGTAAATTACTTAGTGTGGCTTTTCTACCCATAAGTCTTTGTAAACTCCAAGGTGGGATTTTCTATGAGCAACTGAGGAGCTCCTGATTGCTGAAGGTGTCCACCTGGAGTATTTCTGTTGGGCGTGGCACAAAACAATGTTCTGGGAGGTGCCCACTCTCTCTCAGGTGCTTAAA